GATGAAGAAAGAGATAATTGATAAGTATGAAAGTGGAGTGCGTATAGCCGACCTAGTCAAGCTGTACAAGAAACCCCAATCAACCATCGCTACTATTGTGGGCACCAGAAAGACAATCAAGGAAGCTGTTCTTGCCAAAGGTTCAACTGTGTTTTCGAAACAAAGATCGCAATTGATGGAAGATGTTGAGAGACTCTTATTGGTGTGGATAAAATGAAAAACAGATAGCAGGAGATAGCGTCTCTCAAGCGATCATATGTGAAAAGGCTAGGAAGTTGCATGACGATTTAATTAAAAAAAATGCCTGCAACTAGTGATGATGTGAGTGAATTTAAGGCCAGCAAAGGTTGGTTTGAGAGATTTAAGAAGCGTAGTGGCATCCATAGTGTGATTAAGGCATGGTGAGGCTGCCAGTTCGGACCACAAAGCGTGCTGAAAAATATGTGCAGGAATTCAAGGAGTACATAGAAACTGGAAGGACTGAAACCTGAACAAGTGTTTAATTGTGATGAAACAGGCCTGTTCTGGAAGAAAAATGCCAAGCAGGACCTACATTACTCAGGAGGAAAAGGCACTCCCAGGACATAAGCCTATGAAAGAACAGGCTTACTTTGTTGATGTGTGCCAATGCTACTGGTGATTGCAAAAGTGAAGCCTTTATTAGTGTATCACTCTGAAACTCCCAGAGCGTTCAGGCAAAAGAATGTCCTCAAGGATAATTTGTGTTGCTGTGGAGGGCAAACAGTAAGGCATGGGTCACTAGGGAATTTTTCTATAACATGGTTACACCATGCATTTGCCCCCAATGTGAAAAATTACCTAACTGAAAAGAAATTAGAACTTAAGTGCCTCCTGGTGTTAGACAATGCCCCTGGTCATCTACAGACGTGTCAGAGCGACTTTTATGGGGACATGAGCTTCATTAAGGTGAGTTTTTGCCTCCTAATACCACTCCTCTCCTGCAGCCCATGGACCAGCAGGTATTTCCAACTTCAAGAAACTGTACACAAAAGCTCTGTTTGAAAGGTGCTTTGTAATGACCTCAGAAACTCAACTGACTCTAAGAGAGTTTTGGAGAGATCACTTTAATATCCTCAATTGTGTAAACCTTATAGGTAAGGCTTGGGAGGAAGTGACAAAGAGGACCTTGAACTCTGCTTGGAAGAAACTGTGGCCAGATGTGTAGACAAAAGGGATTTTGAAGGGTTTGAGGCTAACCTGAGAATCCTGTGCCAGTTGAGGAATCCATTGTGGCATTGGGAAAGTCCTTGGGGTTGGAGGTTAGTGGGGAGGATGTGGAAGAAGTTGGTGGAGGAGGACAATGAAGAACTAACCACTGATGAGCTGCTAGATCAACTTCAACAGCAAGAGGCCACACCTGAGGAAATTGCTTCGGAGGAGGGGAGAGAGAAATTGAAGAAGTTGCCTACTTCAAAGATTAAGGAAATCTGTGCAAAGTGGCTTGAAGTGCAAACCTTCATGGATGAAAATCACCCTCACACAGCTATTGCAAGCCGTGGCTGGTGATTATTACACTGACAATGTTGTGAAACACTTTAAGGCAAGTCATAAAGGAACGAGAGGTACAGGCCACTATGGACAGATATCTTGTGCGAAAGAAGTCCAGTGAACTCTGAAGCTGGCCCTAGTGGCATTAAAAGAAGAAGGGAAGTAACCCCAGAAAAGGACTTACTACCTCAAGTCCTAATGGAAGGGGATTCCCCTTCTAAACACTAACACACTCTCTCCCCTCCTCCCATCCCATCAATCAATCACCAGATCTTCAATAAAAGTAAGTGTCATTTAATTGTGCATGCCTTTTTTCAGTTTGTGTGTATTAAAATTAACATTTCATGTGGTAAAAAAAATTTTTTTTCATACTTTTGGGCGTCTTGCACGGATTAATTTTATTTCCATTATTTCTTATGGGGAAAATTGATTCGCATAACGATTATTTCGCATAACGATGAGCCCTCTTGCACGGATTAAAATCGTTAACCGGGGGTCCACTGTATATATATATATATATATATATATATATATATGTATATATATATATATATATATATATATATATATATATATATATATATATATATATATATATATATATATATATATATATTATATATATATATATATATATATATATATATATATATATATATATATATATATATATATATATATATATATATATATATATATATATATATATATATATTATATATATATATATATATATATATATATATATAATATATATATATTATATATATATATATATATATATATATATATATATATATATATAATATATATATATATATATATATATATATATATATATATATATATATATATATATATATATATATATATATATATATATATTATATATATATATATATATATATATATATATATATATATATATATATATATATATATATTTTACTTGCACTAGTAAGAAGATAGAAGAAAACCCAGAGGGGTATATATATACCCCTCTGGGTTTTCTTCTATCTTCTTACTAGTACTTGTTCTTGTTTATTTCTGCTTATCTCCATGGGTGAGTGGAACAGAATTCTTTCTGCATGTCATAAGAGGCAACTAAAATGCTAGGAGCAAGGGGCTAGTAACCCCTTCTCCTGCTTATACTATTACTAAATTTAAAAGATAGAAACTTTCGTTTTTCCTTTTGGGCCACCCTGCCTCAGTGGGATATGGCCAGTTTATTGACAGAAGATGCATATACACACACACTGTACAATCATGTATCTTACAGGAAAACTAGGGATGGAAAACCTTTCCTCTGGATCAGGTCCTTCACAGAGACAAAGCACAATGAAAGAATGAAAGCATGTATACTGTTATAGTCTGAGGATCCTAACCCCCTGCTGCCCATTCCCAGGCCAGGCCTCCTGTCTTCATTTGTAAATTTAAGTCAAAATTCTGGCCTTTCACAGTACTAACCTTATGTTCCATAAGCATCTTTTCTTCCTGAGTTTTGGCAGAAATGAGGTGTGCCCTCTGGCACTCTTGCTCTGCCTCTGAGGCTTTCTGTGTCAAAAGCATCGTTTCCTCCTCAGCTATGCGAGATTTCTCTACGAGCAGTTCTGCTGTTTCCTCAGATCTGAAAGAAAGCTGTTTCAGATCTGGAAGAGAGCAGTCTCTGATCCGGAAGAAAGTAGTATCAAATCTGAAAGAGGCCAGTTTCAGAGGCAAGAAGCACTGCACGTTACAGGCCGTAAGTCGACCCAGACCATATTTTTAATACAAAAAGATTTTGGCATGGTACAAGTCAAAGTATACTTTGGAGCCCTCAGTGAGATAATGTTTATAAATTGTACATCATGAAGGGAGTCACAGGTCTAGAGATGGGACTAAATTAGCCATTTAAGGGATAGCACATCCCAAGGGAGTTCATGTTCCAAGAAATTGAGCCTATCCTTTCCTCCCTACAGTCTTGAAGGAAGCATGGGGATATCTGAAGTTTGGGGAACATCTGAACTGTGTTTTTAAGGTCATCCTACCTAGGTGGGAGACGACCAATGTGTTAAAAAGAAAAAATCACTTTCTGTATCTTCTGCAGCATCATCTATTTGAGATGAACTTAATCAATGGAATGTCATATTACATAATCCTCCAAGTATATCAGGTTTGCTACCTCATTAGTGAGGCATCAATATTTACATATCTTTTGTCTCTCTCCATTCACATGATCAGTTATAATGAAAAAACTATGATAATGTCAATATCACATGTGTATACATTATTCATCAGTTTGTTATGTATGAATTTTATGAAAAATAACATGCATGTATCTGAGGTAGGGTTGACATGGTAATGTTTACATATCTATGTCCCTCATCCCCTCTATAAACATAACTAATCTATAGAAGTCCAGCTCTCTACAGTACCAGAACATGTCTTCGCTTAATAGTACCTATACCACAATTTTATTAAATATTGCATTAACCCTTTCAGGGTCCAGACTCCTGATCTGAAACTTGTCCACAGGGTCCAAGAATTTAAAAAAAAAATTTATTATTTTTTCTTATGAAATGGAAGAGAATCTTTTTCTGAAGGTAATAAACACAAAAAGGACAAAATTTGATGGAAAACTGATGAATTACGCTCTCGTGAATTTTGCTGCATCAGCGATATTTACACAATGGCGATTTTGCTCACTTTGACTCCATTTTAGCCAATTACACTAATCCAGCTGACCAATTCTTAGCTATTTCGCTAGTATTATTTCTATTTTATCGATTGAGCACAAGAAATCACCCAATCAATTATTTCAACTACCCAATAAAGTGATTGGAAATTGGTAATTCGGCCAATTTCAGACAAAGTTCAAAATATTCCAATTTCAAAACAGGGTCCAGAATAAACAATGCAGGCATTCCAGGCTTTACAAATGAATTTCAGTTTCATTTTTTAATCACAAAATGAATTTTTATTCACACCAAAAAAAATAGAAGATTTACAGTTATGCAATATTGTAATACACCTACCATCCGACTTACGACCTGCTCGACTACGACCACTCGGCTTACGACCCTCGACTTACGACCGTGTTTTTTATGCCAAATTTCTGGGAAATAAACAACTATTTGTGTTGTACACAAGTGTTTATCCTAAACCTTACAGTATAAAATACAGTGCTAACAACATAAAAAGTAAAGTAAAACATGGAATACCATAATAAAACAATAAATAAAGTCATTACAAAAATGTTTTTTTTGATATTCAGTAGTAAAGTTTGACTTACGACCATTCGACTTACGACCGGTTTCTCGGAACCGAACTCGGTCGTAAGTCGGATGGTAGGTGTAATTGTATAAATAATCTCAGCGCATTCGTGAACACACATTAGACCTACCAGCTGACGTATTGGATGCATGACGTCATCGTTTACTTTTGAACATCGGCAAAAATCAAAATTTCTGCTACTTTGAGCTCAGTTTTTTTTAAAACTATTTTCAGTTTAA